GAGCCATCCCTACATAGGCAGTGCTGCCACCTGTCTGATATTAGTTTCATCTTTATAAAGTTCGTTAGTTTTTTAACATTCATCTTTAGTCATAAGTGTTTTAATTCTAGTTTGTTTGTTAATTGGAAATAAAACCCACACTTGGTTTACACACAAAACTTGGTAAACGATTCATCTCGTTTATTTCTTTTAGCGCAAAACTATACAACGGATAAACTGTGTTCGACTGCGGGGAATGAGCCCCGAATTTTAGCGTTATAAGCCCACGAGCTGAACCATCCGGGGCTGTAAAAGGCGTTACGTGGGTAATTAGTTTGAATGTGATTACGTTCAACGTATTACAGATCGTAGTTTCATTTCTTATTGGCTCTGAGGTTTTACTGTTTAGGATGAAGATGGAGACATACATGTAAATAGTAAGATCAACTACCTAACAGTTTGTTTAAGTAATCGGTTAGGAATCACTGCCTTGCTGATAGTAATACTTTTGGTTTTAGGTAGAAATTAAAAACACAAATAAAATGCCATCTCTTTCTGTCGTTAGAATGAAGAGTGGTCCATCTCTAATTTTGTACAATATTAAGGTTCTACACTTTGACTTTCATCGTCTTCCCTAGTGATGTGAAACTTGATTTTCTCCGCAGCCGCAGCCAGGATGCTGTCACGTGCACCTTCTCGTGAAGAATCTTGACTACGTCTCCGCTCATTGAAGTCTTGGTTGCTGTCACTTGCACCTTCTTGTGAAGAATCTTGACTACGTTTCCGGTTATTGAAGTCTTGGTTGCTAGACGATGGACTGATAGGTATCATGCTTTGGTACCAGTCTCTGTTGTCCTCCAGGTTGTCAAGAATTTCTTGTGCGTCAGGGTACACTAAATCTGCCCACGTCTCCCACAGAGGATGAACTACGTAATCAATGAACCCCACCTATTAGAGATAAAAAATGTCATTTGTCGTAGAAATGTGAAACAGATTTTGGCTAAAGTTAATCATAATCATTGATCTCTAAACCACAAATAAGCACAGTGGTGCAAGAAATCTGACTGCAACACTGATAATAAGCACACTGTTGCAGACATTCTGAATATATCACTGACGGTAAGCAGTGGTGCAGGTAAACCGAATGTAACATAACATTGACAATAATCACTGGTGCAGGTAAACCGAATGTAACATAACACTGACGGTAAGCAGTGGTGCAGGTAAACCGAATGTATCATAACATTGACAATAATCACTGGTGCAGGTAAACCGAATGAAACATAACACTGACAATAATCACTGGTGCAGGTAAATCGAATGTAACATAACATTGACAATAAGCACTGGTGCAGTTAAACCGAATGTAACATAACACTTGACAATAAGCACTGGTGCAGTTAAACCGAATGTAACATAACACTGACAATAAGCACTGGTGCAGTTAAACCGAATGTAACATAACACTGACAATAAGCGCTGGTGCAGTTAAACCGAATGTAACATAACATTGACAATAAGCACTGGTGCAGGTAAACCGAATGTAACATAACATTGACAATAAGCACTGGTGCAGTTAAACCGAATGTAACATAACACTGTGATAACAGTGTGAACTTCTCAACCACAACACTCAGCAAGACCCTTCGTTGATGCATCAGTACTAATCTTCAAGTACAGGAACTAATACTAATCATTGGACACAGGAACCAATACTAATCATTGGACACAGGAACTAATACTAATCATTGGACACAGGAACCAATACTAATCATTGGACACAGGAACTAATACTAATCATTGGACACGTGAACTAATACTAATCATTGGACATAGGAACTAATACTAATCATTGGACACACGAACTAATACTAATCACTGGACACAGGAACTAATACTAATCACTGGACACAGGAACTAATACTAATCATTGGACACAGGAACTAATACTAATCATTGGACACAGGAACTAATACTAATCATTGGGCACAGGAACGAATACTAATCATTGGACACAGGAACTAATACTAATCATTGGACACACGAACTAATACTAATCATTGGACACAGGAACTAATACTAATCACTGGACACAGGAACTAATACTAATCATTGGACACAGGAACTAATACTAATCATTGGACACAGGAACTAATACTAATCATTGGACACAGGAACTAATACTAATCACTGGACACAGGAACTAATACTAATCATTGGACACAGGAACTAATACTAATCATTGGACACAGGAACTAATACTAATCACTGGACATAGGAACTAATACTAATCATTGGATACAGGAACTAATACTAATCTTCAAGTACAGGAACTAGTACTAATCATTGGACACAGGAACTTATACTAATGATTGGACACAGGAACTAATACTAATCATTGGACACAGGAACTAATACTAATCATTGGACACGTGAACTAATACTAATCATTGGACACAGGAACTAATACTAATCATTGGACACAGGAACTAATACTAATCATTGGCCACAGGAACTTATACTAATCATTGGACATAGGAACTAATACTAATCATTGGACACAGGAACTAATACTAATCATTGGACACGTGAACTAATACTAATCATTGGACACAGGAACTAATACTAATCATTGGACACAGGAACTAATACTGATCTTTGGACAAGGAGCTAGTACTAATCTTTATGTACAGGAGCTAATACTAATCTTTATGTACAGGAGCTAGTACTAATCTTTATGTACAGAAGCTAGTAGTAATCTTTATGTACAGAAGCTAGTACTAATATTTTGAGTGCAGGAGCTAATGCTGATTTTTATGTATAGGAGATGGTGATGGTCTTTAGATATAGGATATAATACTAATGGTTACGTCCAAAAGCTAATATCAACCTTTAGGTACAGAAGATGGTGATAATCTCTATGTGCAGCAGCCATAGAAACATTCAGTTCACGTCTACTTTATAGTTGTTTATGAACCATAGAAACATTCAGTTCACATCTACTTTATAGCTGTTTATAAACCATAGAAACATACAGTTTCTGTCTGATTTATAGCTGTTTATGAACCATACAAACATTCAGTTCACATCTACTTTATAGCTGTTTATAAACCATACAAACATCCAGTTTCTGTCTGATTTATAGTTGTTTATGAACCATACAAACATCCAGTTCACATCTACTTTATAGCTGTTTATGAACCATACAAACATCCAGTTCACATCTACTTTATAGCTGTTTATGAACCATAGAAACATCCGGTTTCCATCTGATTTATAGCTGTTTATGAATGAACCATACAAACATCCAGTTCACATCTACTTTATAGCTGTTTATGAACCATAGAAACATTCAGTTTCTGTCTGATTTATAGTTGTTTATGAACCATACAAACATCCAGTTCACATCTACTTTATAGCTGTTTATGAACCATACAAACATCCAGTTCACATCTACTTTATAGCTGTTTATGAACCATACAAACATTC